TCATTTATTCCTACCCATTTTTTTTCTATCTTTTAACCAGTTTTTTGCAGGAGTGGGTGGGTGAGATTCTGTGGCCTGAGTTGTGCAGGAGGTCGGACTAAATGATCATAATGGTCCCTTCTGACCTCAGTATCTATGAATCTATGAATCAGTTACCAATCCATGAGATGACCTTCCCTCTTATGCAATGAGAGCTTACTTTGCTGAAGAGCCTTTGGTGAGGGACCTTGTCAAAGGCTTTCTGAAAATCTAAGCACACTGTATCCACTGGATCCCCCTTGTCCCCATGCTTGTTGACCCCCTCAAAGAATTCTAGTAGAATTCTAGTAGATTCCATCCTTTTAAATAAATTTTCTGTACAGTGACAGATTAAAGACATTTGTTGCTTCTGCAGTAATCAGAAACAGCATTTCAGCAAACGGACTAATGTGTTTTGACCACATCACATAAGTCTGTTGAAACTATAAAGTATTTATAATAACTAACAACTTACTACTGCTCCATTTGAGGCCAGCGGTAAAGCTGAGATCAACGGCTGCAGCATCAAGTAGCTATTTCCTTTTATAAATGAGTCATTTTACATTAAATATGAAAAAATATTCTTCCATGCAGACACCAGGCAGTTCTCAAATCCAATTCATTTGTTTAGTGGTTGCTTGCTTAAGCCTTGATTTAGGAAAGCATTTAAGCACATGCTTAACCTTAATCTTATTCAGCAAATTGCTATAGATGAGTGTGTGCTTTAGTAATTTGCTGGATAGGGATAGACTGAAGTAGGTGCTAAAGTACTTGGTGACTCAGTCCTGCTCCTATTGAAGTCAATGGCAACATTCACACACGTGAGTGGAAGAAAGATTGGGCCAGTGCTGAATGAAGATGAACATCATGAAGGGTGGATCAGTATTTCAGTGTATAGTATTTTAGTGTTTCATAGGGAATGTGGGACAGCAGCTTTACACTCTGAGTAATCCTTTTTTATGTGGTTAGTCCTATTGAACTCAGAAAGACTATGCCTGCGAGTAAAGGCTATTCAAGTAGAACCTGTAGAATCTACAGTATACACCAGTGGTTCCAATTAGGGCAGTTGAGGGTAGGGGGACAAAGGTTTTTGCACTTGCACAAAGTTCCACAGGCTGTCGAGCTGGGAGCAGGGAGGCAAGCCCGGGCTACATTTTAAGCAGTGGTCCAATACTAAATCAGCACGGCTCTGACCAGACTCATCCACTGAAAATCCGTTGCCTCTCTGTACTGAAGGAAGGGCAGCCAAGCCAAATTCCTGTTAGCGGCACTGTGATCTGGTGCCCAGCATTACAACTGAACTGAGATTTGGCCTGGCTGCCTCTCTGTTCAGATGGAAGGGCAACTGAGCCAAATGGTGTTGAGACCTGGAGCACAGGAGTCTGTTCCTGTACAATATTTTAGAGCCCAAGCCATGAGTAATCCCCTGCATGACGGGTTGTCTCCCTTTAAGGTGCCACCTGATGTACTGGGATACCACTGAGCCTGCCTGTTCCGCCAGCCTGGGCCCATTTTACCCTGTCTTGCTGAGCCAGGCTCTTATGCCTCCTCTAGCACACATACAGGTAGAGCCACACCCAGCTGCAGAAAGATACAGACACTGAGATCAGCTCTGGGAAGACTCAGTTTAAGGGATTTGTCTCAGCACTCAGGTGCCCACCTCCCTTGGAGTGCAGACCGAAAGCTGTATTTTCTCACACTGTATAGAAAGATCTGCACAGCGCAAGCTCATAAAAATCCTCCCGCTCCCTCAATGTGAGGAAAGCTATGCACAACTTCTTCATCCCACCCCACCCCAGATATGGATTGCACAAACTGGGTTATGTTATAAACAAGAAATAAGCTTATTAACTACTAAAGACAGATTTTAAGTGATTGTAAGGGACAGCAAACAGAACAAAGCAGATTACCAAGCAAATAAAACAAAACATGCATAATACGCTTCAGATCTTAAAGAGACTGATTTCAAGAAATAATTTTTCACCCTAAATATCGTTTTAGGCAAGTTGCTGAGTTTCTGTAGCTTAGACTTCCAGTTATTTCTTCTTACAGACTGGACCCCTGTCTCAATCTGGACTCACCCCGCCTTTCCTCTCAGATTAGTTCCTTTTTCTTTTCAGGTACTTTCAGCAGTCTTTGTTCTTGGTAGGCAATGGAGGAGAGTCCACATTAACTCCCTCCCCAGCCTTAAAAAGGATTTATCTAAGGCGGGAAACCTTTGTTTGATCCCCATCCCACTACAGAGGAGAAGTACCAGCAGTATCCATGGTGGTATTTTGTATCAGGTAAGCTTATCACCTGACCTTGCACTGTCAAAGCAACTATGAAACCAGGTTTATTTGCAATGTCCACAGGAAGGAACTCCAGGGAGATGTGAGAGCCACATCTTCAAAGACTCATTGTCTTTTTCCAATGGCCCATTAAGTCTGATTGCTTACTGTCTTGTGGGCGTTTCCCCAAGTACACATACAGTTGTAATTGCACAGTCAATTACATAGTCAATACTCTTAACTTCAGATACAGAAATGACACATGCATACAAATTGGATAATCACACTCAGTAAATCATAACCTTTCCAACGATATCTTACATGAGCCATCTGGCATAAAGTATATCTTAGTTACGCGATATTCATATCATAACCATATTTCTATAAAGAATATGGGGTGTAACATCACATCCTGCACGAGTCATCAACTGAGTTCAGGAGAGAGTTCCAACTGCATAAGGACTGCAGAATCAGCAATATCTTGTGCCGGGACAGGCTTAATGACAGCTCTAAAATATGACAGACAAGCTATACAAGTTATATGGAGGTAAACTGACTTAAATAATGTTAAATGACAAATCTAATTAACTGTCCGGTATTCACCTGCCATTTGGTACTACTGTTTCCAACTTGTTAGCTGTTCAGGTTTCAGCAGTTGCTAGGATGTCCTTGTTTGTTTCCATCCAGCCAGGAGATTACAAACTTTTCTTTCCAAGGCAGACTTTATAGCCATGACTCACTTCTCCCAGCCAAATGTGTTAAACTTTAGAACACAACACTCAGCTGCTGCCTTTTCAGGAGAAATGTATAGCCCAGCAACCAATTTCAACTTTTCTAACCACTCAATTGAGAATCATGAACAGCCCTAGATTAATTTTTTAAACTGACTTGCGAGTGTCTGTAACCAAAAAGGCCATTCATTGCAGCCTGTCACTTTGAGGATGGGAGGAGGGGGGGAGATGCTTTATAACTCACTTTTTCTTCTTTGCCCCTCATCCTTACCGCAACCTCAAAACACTGTGTAGATAAACCCCCAATTCCCAAACGGAGGGTCATTGTCTTTCCTTTCCCCCATCAGTGTTCCCCTGAACCAGATGAAAGCATGTGAAGAGATATTTATATTGTGTGTTTCAGTAATGAGTTCTTATCTATGCACTTCTGTCAGTAGGTGCATGGCTTTTAGGCACAACCCGCCAGTCACAAAGGCCCAGATCCTCAAAGGGACTAAGGTGTTGCTCAGCTCAGTGTTGCAATACCTGACCCCTAGGTAGCCTGCCCCCTTGTGGAATCCTCAGTCCTGAGCTAGACAACCAGGCTTCTCATACAATGCATGGGGAGAGTTATATGCCTAAGAAAGGGATCTTAGAAGCCACTAAGGTGAGCAGTAAGCTGCCTAAACCAGCTAGGAATAAAATGCCAAAGAGAAGGGCAGGAAGAGGAGAGGGGCTTAGGTGCCTGGTTGATGTACTAGAGATAGATACATCCCTCTGCTCAGGAACCTCAGTTGCAATCCCTCTCCTAGGGGTAGGTGCTTCAGCCAGGTCAGCCACTTAGGTAGCCTATGCCCTAGCAGCCAAAACCATGTATCTCTCTCTCTCTCTCTTTCTTATTCACACTCAAGACCGCTCTCATGCTCAGCCTACATTTCCCTGTGCCCTGGCTTTCTTTTGTGTAGGTGTTGTCCTCCCCCTCAACAGCGGCCTGCATCTGGCCCTCTGCTATGGTGTCCAACTGATATCAGGTTTTAGGCATGCTCAGAGAATGCCCCTAGAGGACTGGGCCCCACTGGTGGAGTACGGATTCTGCCACTTCATTTGAGGATCCCACTTCAGGGCCTCTGGGGCTCCAGCTTGACACAGCTCCAAGCTGTGCATTAGCTTTGGGGCAGCATCAGGGCTCAGGTGGCTGTCTGAATGCCAATTGGCAGAGACTTAGGCACTCTGTGATTAGAAGGCAGCTGAGTGACAGTTTTGAAAATGTTAGAGGTGCCTAAAATGGCAGACGTAAGTACCTAAAGAGGCAGACAGACTCCTAAATGTCTGGGTATTTGAGTATCTGGGCCAAAGTGCCTTTGGATAATCATTAAATATTCATCTTGCTCTTGTTTTAAAATATTCAGCCATCCAATCAAGAGGCAGATGTGATTCAAGTGATCAGACATACACCATTAAGGGCAAAGGGCAAATTATCAAAGCAAACTGTTAGGAAAAAAAACAGCATAATCCCCTCATTTCCTTCCTGAATTCTCGGGAGCAGGCAACATTCACCTGTGTGCCCAGATGCCTGATGTTGTTGACAGTAAAGGAGATTCTGAGTATCCCAGTGGTGATGTTGGATTCGTGGGAATCCTCTATCCATTGCTCTGCTGCTGCCCTTTTACTTATAAAAGAAATCAATCTTGGCAGAACCTCCACCTTGCTTGGCCTGTACATGCTCACTGGCATGCCTTGAGAGCTTCCAGAAATAAACCTGAGCTAATCTATGCAATGGCTCTAACCCAAAAGTACCAATATACAAGCAATACACTCTTAGACTACAGTTAACACACCTTTATTTAACAATTTATGCAAACACGATATAAGACTGAGATTAATTAAAATGTCACAGCCACTTTGAATCAATAGGAGGCTCTTCAATAAATCAATTAATAAATGAAGTTTACAGTAGTAAATGAAAACCGACTTCCATATACACTGGCACCATTTACCTCACCTCTGAGTATGCACTCCTCATATTTCAGAGGTCTAGATGCTTGCCTGGGCACACTTGAAGATCCTGAAACCAGGACATCACTCTGTTGGTCCAGTAAAGTAGTCCAGCCTGAGCCAAGGCAATAAGGGGCAGAGCAATTCTAAGTTGGGATCATTTCTGAAGACAAGAGTAGTTATAACCAGAGGTCAGTAACCGTAGATCCTGATTAGCCGATAAGACCACTTTATCTATTCTCAGACTGAGGGAAAGCCCTTAAAGTCTCTTTGTTATCCCTGTTTCCCTAAAAGCATTTCCCCAAATAACAAACTCTTGCTGCCTTCAGTGCATACCAACCTCAGTCAGTTCCAGTCACCACAACAGTCTCAGCCCTGGTTCCAGTGAAGCCCGCAACAACAGCCTTCTTGATTCCCTGCTTGGTCAAGTCCCAGCAGTTTCTCAGTAGCACCTTCTGGCTTGGAGAGAGCTCCACAAAGCAATCTCCAGTCCCCTGACCAGGATCTCAGCTCCTCACAAAAATGGAGCCCATTGCATGCTGCCTCTGAATCCAAAACAAGGCTCTCCTCATCCCTGGAAGCAGAAATCTCTTTCTTCTCCAAGGCATCATGGGAGTTGTAGTCTCCAAGGTTGTATTGCAGCACTCAGGATTCTCCCATCTGGAACATTCCTGAATAAATTCAGAGACCCCTCTAATAGAGGAGGCCTGTAATAGTCTAAAATTTATTTGCATAATCTATTTGGTGAACAATGTTATTAATAAAAAATAAGGTTGTAGAAATCATGGCTGGTTCATGAATGATTCAGAAACACAAAAAAGGGGTTAAATTTATAGGATTCTTTATTGACAACAAATAATCCAACCAGCTTTGTAGGAAATGATACATGTCTAAGATAAAAATCACGTATTTTGCCTGCTCTGGAAATGTTCAATGCAGGAACTGAAATTCCCAGGGAAAGAGCCCTTGTCACCATTGAAAGTTAAATAGATTTATATTTTTAAAAACAAAATCAGCTTAGAATTTGGGTTGCTTTCAAATGTAAATCAGTTTAAGTATTGAATTCATTATAAAAAACAAATAAGCAAGCACAAGAGAAAACCCTGCTTGAAATACTGAATTAATTTTTAAGTTGAATGAAATTACATATTGAACTGCTTTCAAATTGAGGGCTGTCTAAATTTCACTAAGTGAAAATGTATATTGCAAAAGAATAAGTTTAGGAAAAACAATATAGAAAACAAGAATGAATGACATAAATGACACCATAAAAACTGGACAATTTTGAGTTGATACTGTCAGTTGATCGTATGGCACCAGGCAAACACAGGCAAAACAAATATTGCAATGTGGTGTTCGATATTCTTGAAAAACCTCCCCATCAGTGTCAGTATCGAAATGTAAACTCTGGCCTAGTATAAGACAACTACACTGTTAATTTTCTTGTAGTAGATTTGACTTGTTTTTCAGGATTCCTTTAAACAACACATTGTCTTGATTTGTTAGAATCATCATTTTACTTCATTTATCATATTCAGACATGGGAAATACATTGAATGCAGAGTTCTCCAATACAACATTCATTTTGTTTAGATTCAACTAAGTCATTGTGGACTACTTTAATGCTTGCTAGCAGAAAACTTCAACAATTTCTGGGCCTGGTTCTAAATTTACCTAAAACAGGGTATATCCAGAAGTAAATATTGAAGCCAATAGTGTTACACTGAGAGTGTAAGTGAAATCAGGATTAGGGCCATTGAGTTTTAGCAGCTATTTAATACAAACATATATTTTACATAGAGCTTGTTCCTGCAAGGTGCTGAGCATCTGCCGCAGCAATGCACGTAAGAACATAGATTCATAGATATTAAGGTCAGAAGGGACCGTTATGATCATTTAGTCTGACCTCCTGCACAAAGCAGGCCACAATCTCACCCACCCACTCCTGCGATAAACCTCTCACCCATGTCTGAGCTATTGAAGTCCTCAAATCATCGTTTAAAGACTTCAAGGAGCAGAGAATTCTCCAGCTAGTGATCTGTGCCCCATGCTGCAGAGGAAGGCGAAAAACCTCCAGAGCCTCTTCCAATCTGCCCTGGAGGAAAATTCCTTCCTGACCCCAAATATGGCGATCAGCTGAACCCTGAGCATATAGGCAAGATTCGCCAGCCAGATACCCAAGAAAGAATTCTCTGTAGTAACTCAGATCCCACCCCATCTAACATCCCATCACAGGCCATTGGGTCTATTTACCATGAATATTTAAAGATCAATTAATTGCCAAAATCATGTTAGTAGTCTCATTGATTACTCATATACTTAGCATTATGCACATGCTTTACTGCTTTTCTGGATGAGGACCAAAAGCACCAAAAGGTGCTTTTCTGGACCAGCACTTTGCAGGATCAAGCTCACGGTCCCTAAGTTTCAGTAATGGCTTGTGTGGATGAACAGGTAGCACAAGGCAAGCTGGGCTGTGAATCTACAGTGCATTGGCCAGCTGCACACTAACTGTCCCAAGGGACCCTGCTACCATGCAGTAAAAGTTCCCTAGTGAGCACTGACGTGCTGCCATTCAAAGTGAAGTAGGTCAATGAACACAAAGGATTTTTTTGTGAGTGGTAGCAAGGTCCACAGGAACAGTTAATGCACAGCAAGATAGTGCAGGATAGATTTCCAACCCTACCCTCACCCTCAGATTGCCATGCACTAACTAACTCTTCATCTAGACAAGCCCCAAAGAGGTTGTAATATTCAATTATGTGAATATGGGCCCAAATGAAAACCTCAGGTTTTGGAAAATCTCTGACCAGGATTTGGAACCCAATATCCGTCCCCTTCTATCATTATACCCCTACCAAAACAACCCAAAACAAAACCCTGCCCCAAGCAGAATTTTTACCATGAAAAGAGAGAAGGGCCAGAGACACCGTGAAGTCCTCTGTGACCAGAGACTTCACTATTGTTATGGATTTGAGGTGGAAGGTGCTCAGATACTGCAGAGATGGGCAGCAGTATAAAACCCTAGATAAGTTAGCTTTTGATGAGGCTGACTGTTGATGAGATATGCCATTATCATCTAGAGGTAAAATTGTCAGAAGGCCAACCTCCATTTTACAAGTGACATTTGTGTAACGGGACTGTTGCTCCCTTACTAACATTCAGTGGGGGTGTTTTGGTTGGCTAGCTCTCAGTACTAAAAGGGGAAGGGTCATGGGAATCAGGACCCTGAGACTGACAGTCCCCAGGAACAATGGGGAGAGGCCGATGCTCCAGGTCAGCCTGAATGTCAGGGCGGGCAGGCTAATCAGGGAGTCAGGACTCCAGGGAGGTCCCATCCTCCCTGTGAGATGGATTTGCCTGGGTCAGACAGAGTGGGGTGGAGCTAAGGAGAAAGCAGGGGCCCAAGCTGAGCTGGGGAGCAGAGCTGGGCCAGATCCAGAGAGAGCAGGCCCTGTCCTGGGAGCAGAGTTGCAGCAACCAGAGCCAGAGGGGCTAGAAAAGCAGCCCAGGAAGCAGGTCAGTGCTGGGAGCAGAGTCACAGAAGCAGCCTGCAGAGCAGACCTGTCCTGGGAGCAGAGCTGCAGCAACCAGAGGCAGAGGGGCCAAAGAAGCAGCCCAGGGAGCTGGAGGCAGAGCAGCAGCAGCAGTGCAGAGACAGAGTGGTGGAGCTGGGGCTGGAGCAGTCCAGAGCTGGGTGCGGTGAGCAGCTGGGGAGAGCGAGAGGGACCCTGGGCAGCAGGCCCAGCACAGGGAGACGCCTCAGCCAAGAGGCTCTGCAGGCCAGGCTTGGATCGTAACCCCGACAGGGCGGGGGCGACACTGGGAAGAAGGGTCCTACCACTTAGAGCCTGAGAGCATGTGGCCACCACCAGAGCAAGTGTCCAACCCACAGCATCACTGCAGCACAGCCAGGGCCTGAGAAGAAGGCCTGGGACTTACAAGGAACAGGCTGGGAACTGCCCGGACATTCCAGAGACACTGTTTGTGATGTTCCCTGCCACAGAGCGGAGTGATGTGTTTCTTTAACCTTTCCCATTACTCCTTATTCTTTTTAAAATTTATTGTTGATTAAATAACTTGCATTTGCTTTAACTTGTATGTAATGGTCAGTGGGTCAGAGAAGTGCGCAGTGCAGAGAGAGTACCCCAGAGTGGGGACACCCTAGCCCCTGTCCTAGGTGAGCGCAGCAGGGTTGGGGGTTGAGCCCCCCAGGAATCCTGGGCCTAGCCTTGTTGAGGTTATGAGGACTCTGCCCAACAGGAGAGTGGAAGGGGAGTCCTCAAGGGCAGGGAGGCCACTGAGTAAAGGAAGTGGGAGCGAGGACTCAGATCCTTTCACTAGCCCACTTCACCGGGGTAGTGCAGAAGCCAGGAAAGTTCCCCACAATAGCGGGACTCCTCCCCCGCTTACATTTGCACTCATAATCTAATTGTAAGGCACAAATCTACAAGGTTTGCTTTCCTCAGTCTGGTAAGTAGGGGGCGTTGCAATTACCCTGATTTGTGTCTGGAACTCATTTTGAAGGCACAGACGTATGGGTATGTCTTCTCTAGCAATGTTAAAAGTGCTGCTGCGGCAGCAGTGCCCCAGCGCTTTACCGTGGCTGTTTGGTCGCGGCCCCAGCTCTGGGAGAGAGCTCTCCCAGCGCTGTAAAAAAATCTCCCCCACGAGGGGAGTAGCTACCAGTGCACTGTCTACACAGCCACTTTACAGCGCTGAAACTTGCAGCGCTCCAGGTTGTGTTTTTTCACACCCCTGAGCAAGCAAGTTGCAGTGCTGTCAAGTGGCGGTGTAGACAAGGCCTTAATCTCAAAGAGGGAAGAGGCAAGGACATTGATGTGTTGGCAAACACAATTAGAAATCAGGGCAAGGACTTTAGCTGCTCTCTCCAGCTTCAAATCTTCTCCACAAGACTTTGACTATAAGAAGCCAGACAATGTGAATGACTAGACTTAGGATCCAGTCAAGGTATTTGGCACTCTGTTCATAACAAAAACAAACAAACAAAAGTTAGCCCCTGTAGATTGATCTTCAAGATGAAGATTGTTGCTGGTTTTGTCCTAATGTTTGAAAATGGTTTTCAATAATGATGGGTTGCTACGGTTTGTGATAGGTGCTAATTTTGTCTGTTTTTATCAATCTGTACAAATAACGCTGAATTTAATGCTTCACAGATCACCTGTATTGGATACCCCCCATGCAAATCTTGGACCCATAAAGGCAATGTAGTTGGGGCCTCATGCTCTTCCACTCACAAAAGTAGAAGGTGCTATTTAGCTCTTAAATTTAAAAAAACATTGTTGAGATAAAACAAAGGTGGTGATTGTTGTTACTAATTTTGCATCTTCAGTCCCAATATTCTGGACTGTTTTCATTATTTGAATTATAGTAGGAACCAGAGGCCTCAACTGAGATCAGGACAGCAATGTACTAAATGCAATACCTGTACTCAGAAGGCCTAATCCAGTGCTCAATGAACTCAGTGAGTCATTCCATTGACTTTAATGGGCATTGGCTCATGGCCAGAAAG